GCTCTCAGAGAATACTGCACCTGCTCAACTTCCCATTCTTCTTTTTCTTGTCCTTCTCACCACCTTTATCCTTTGTCTCATCTTTCCCCTTCCCTTTCTTGTCCTTGTTCTGCTCCTCTTTCTCCAGTTTGGACACCCCTTTCCCTCGTTTTTTCCTCGTCTTCTGCTCTTCCTCGCTCTCCTCATCGCTCTCCTCCTTCGCAGCTTTCTTCCTGGAGGCTTTTGAGCTTTTGCTTTTCACACTGCGGCTGTCTTCCTCCTCGTCTTCGTCACTGTCCCGGGGCTTGGCCTTCTTCTTTCGTCCTCTCTTCCTTGGTGCCTCGTCCTCGTCCTCTTCGTCCTCCTCATCATCGCTGACCCGTTTGACCCTACGTTGTGGTTTGTTTCTTCTGTTTTTGATTCTCCTCCTGGCCTCATCTGAGAAAAAAATATATATACATTATAGAAACATTCATCAAGTGTGTGCAAAAGTGATATTAGTCTCGTTAAATGTTTTAGCTCATAAAAAGTACAAAGAACCATTAATCCACTGAAATGATGTGTCACTAAAGAGGGAATTTAATGAAAATGTGTAAATAATCTTGAAGAAAAGTGACAGAAGAGGGCGAAAAGAAGCAGTAATTTATACATAATTTGTTTAAACCATAAACCCTGCTCCCTTTAACTCTTTATTTATTTTAATTTATGTGTGTTTATTTATATACATACGTTTATGTGTGTATGTATATATAGTATAGAAAAAAAGACTAAATATGTAATTATACTGGATAGTCTGTGGAACCATTAATTTTCAGGAATAAAAAACATTTTTTGATCTCTTTTTTCTGATGAAAAGCACACAAAAATAGTTCTTGGTGACTCACCTTCACTTCCACTGTCCACAGCATCAACATCCATCCCAACTGTGAACATATAAAACAAAAAACACCCCCACACACACAAATTAAGGGGATAAATCCATAAACAAGTAAATATTTATATAGTAGTAGTTACTCAATATAATCAAAAAGCTGAATATTTAAAGCTGAAATTTGCTAGGACAACAAATAAACAATTCTTTAAAAAAAATCTCACCGTCTTCAACCTTAATTACAGCATCATTTTTCCTTTTTGGAGGCATTTTGTTGTGTCTCTTTTTGTTATTTATATCCTTGTTTTTCTCCAGTTAGTCCTCTTCTGCCTCCTCTCCATCCATGAGTTACTCAGTGCGAGTAGCTGATACACTTGTGAAGGTCCTGTGTTAAAAAGTCTGCACACACACACACTCACACTCACACTCACACACACACACACACACATACAGGAGTAGGTGCGCCTCTGTTTAGGCTGCTCAAAGACCCGGCTCCTTGACAACCGTCAAAGACACACAGTCCAGTAGATGATAATCAGGAGCTTAGGGAGAAAACAAAATCCACAGACAATGGACCTGTCAATCAAAATGCTAATTAATATTTGACTGGAGCAACTAGAGCACGTATACAGTCAACATGCTTAAATCAAAGTAAATTAAAGTTTATTTTAAAGTTGTAACATTGTCATATAATGTTTGCGAACGTCTGATGGTTGAACATTTGCCACCGTTCAGTTGTGGCCCAGTAAGGAGACACCAGATGTCGACATGAAGGTCCGGGCCCATTAAAGTTAGATGAAAGCTTAATTAATCCTGAGTAAAAAGTGAAACAAGTCACTGTATTCAAATACTGTACACAGTCTTCTGTGGGAGTAAATGTATAGCTTTACTAACATAGTTTCAGGGGACAAATCAGTCAGTTTTACTAGCTGTTCATTAAAGGACAGGTTAAAACGATACTTACATGCAGAGTAATTGATTGCTGCAATCATTAATTCTGCTTATAACATTAAACATTAGCATGCTTAAGACTTAAAGGTCCAGTGTGCAGGATTTACTTGCCACGAAACATATGAAAAACATAGTCGTCCTATCGTCCTACTATATATAGTGTTTGGTTTCTCTGTTCCTCGCTACTGTAGAAAAACATGGCGATAGTTATGCATATTATATTCCATTTCTACAAATAGATCCTGCTCAATGTTACACACTGGACCTTAACAGCTTAGTGGTGATGTTGAAGTCATGTGACAGTGATATAGTTGGTTTATAGCCTAATGTTAGTGTTTTACTTCTTACCTTTGTTCGCCACAGGGCTTATTTCCTGCAATAATCCACAATCCAATGGAAAAAACCCCAGTGGCTTTTTGTCGAATTAAACAGAGCTATGCTAACTTCTAGCTGAACTTAATATGAGGGTTCAGCAGTTTGAGTTAGTCAAATTAATTGTGTATTTCCACAAGTTTATCAAATCTTTTAACTGTAGCTTAACAAGGAAACACGCAGAGGGAACTTTGAACAAAAAAAATGGAAAATACACACTTGATTTGACTCATTAAATCCATTGTTTCAGGACAGACTTTAAAAATGTTTGTGATTGAGCAGAGATAAGAAAGATGTGGAAGTGAGGACTAAGGGATGAACAATAGTGCCTTATGTTCCTATCCATATTATATGTGTTGTTATGGTCAAATGTCACATCTGACCTTTTGAATAATACAGGAGGAAACAGGAGACGCAAAGGCTGCTAACACACAGAGAGCAACACACTTCCGGGGGTTGTATGAATGCTCACTTTCAAGGCTTGTACCTGAAAGACAAGCTCAGCCCTCAGGGTTGGGCTTATCATGTCCTCCTCCTGATTGTCTCCTTCACTTCCTGGAAACCATTTAATACTCCTCTCCACCCATTATTCATCCTTCCTTCTCACTTAAGTTTGAAGAAGGCCTAGATGCATTTATTCTTAAGATCCATTAACTAAAAAGCATCTAACTTCACACTGACACTCAATGCCAACCTTTGCTCCCCAAAGGAAAACTGAACACTCCTCCGAGCGAGTCAAATCAGTGCTTGTGCAGCGCCTCAATGTCTCACTCCTCCCTTCATTACTGGTAGTGAATAAGAGATGCCCATCGTGGTGTAGCGGTAGATATCCGGTAATGTGTAACCTGTCATGACTCAGTTTTCTGCCACATTGTACCAGCATTGGAAGGAGACTGGGATGGAGCCAAAACACAACTCCAGTAGAAAGGGTAAAGTGGTGCGTAAGGAGGAGGGGGGTTGCTATTACCTGGATGAATAAGAGTGAGGAAGATTATGACAAAGAGTCTCCAGTATACAGGGAAGATGGAGGCTTTGCTTATCAATGTCTCCTCAGTCTTTATTAAATAATGTGATTGACAATTCTTGGCCCATGATGAAAGAATAAAGCTTGGGGGCTTACTCCGTTCTCCAGTTCTCAAATAACTGCAGGATTAATACTTAATGCTTACTTACCATAAATTGATCATGAGCGTCAATTGAAGTGGACTTGACTGGCACTGTAATTTAATGTCCATGGCATTATGAGCTTGTTGACTTGTTGTCTTTAAATGATTTAGATGCACTTATTCCTCACTGACAACCCCCTTACATCGCACACTTCTTGAATTTCAATTAAACACGACTCTGAGTGACTATCAATATATAGAATTTCAGGTTAATAAAGTTTAACTAATGAGACAACACCGTTACTTTTAAATTTGCTAAATGATTGATTGACAGCAAGTGCAGCGCAGAATCAGCTGTCGGGACACTGGATATGACCACACCGTTATCAGATGATACGCAGACGTTCATGCTTCGTGATGAAGGTCAGGAGGCCACAGTGAATGGATTTATACTGACAGATCAAACTTGAATGTTTGGCACAGATTCGATGTTTCCAAAAAGGGAATAATCTGATGCTTTTAATGCATCAAACAATGTGTCATACTTGTATTATACAGCTGAAAAACTCAACTGTCAATTGAGTGTGTAAGTGCAGCCAGCGATGAGAGAGAGAGAGATCCATTTAAGCCTTGCTAGCTAGGTTAAATGGCGTCCATGTCTAATGAATTGTTTAATACTTTGGCCCAGTCACAGGTCCAGGGACACCTGTGCCCTGTGTCTAACTGTGAGAGGCAATAATTCTGTAATAGTCTTGTATATGTGCAGGCAATAAGAGAGAAACAACAACATTTTATTTATTTATCATCATCGTCTTTCACTACTTTTGTAGATTGTACTTGAATTTATGGTATTTGTTTGGATCCTTTGGTTCTGTTCTTACTTTCGTCAACAACAACAGATTTTTGCATTACTGTTTATGACACTTTCCATTTATTTCTACTGTATGTGGAGGGGCAGTACAATGAGGTACTGCTAAAAAATGTCATCAGAGGAGCTAGTAGAGAAATGGTTGAGCACATCAACATATAAGAGATGGACAACAAGTCTCTACTTCCTCCCACTGGACAAAAATGAAGCCAAAATATCCAGAATAATGCCGCTGCCCTCTTTTGTCATTCAGAGCCAGAGTCTGCACAGTAGTGGTCGAGATCCCGCCCATACGTGTGGCTGACTCAATCGTGAGCAGGGCTTAGCTATCATCAATTATGATGTGAAACACCCTTTTTATACATTTAAATAACTAATTAAAATCAAACTTATCTGAAAAACACTTCAGCGTGATAGAAGTACATAACATGACAGAAAGCATCTTTGTGACAAATGTATTTGACATGTACTTCTTTAGTTTGGTCCATGTGCCATCTGCTAACATGGGGGCTTTATGACCTATAGCGCAGTCAGCCACCAGGGGGCGATAGAGATGTTTTAGCTTCACTTTTAGAGAGCTGTCATGTCGTCCATCCTTAGAAATAAGACATATGACACATATGTAACAACTGTAATGCAACATTTAAAGAAAATCATATTCTACTCATGTTAACATTTATTTAGTAAACAACTACTAATTTGAAATGCTACAAAAGTTATCATCAATACACAGTTACTCAGGAGGAAATGTGCACTAACTGCCGTGAACACTCTCTCAGTTCACCGTTCACATCTCGACACAAAAGCTCTCAATAAAGTGCTTGGTTTTCTTCTCTCTTCATGTTGTTTTCTCTCAGTGTCTCTGCAGGCTCGGCACCCTGTGCATCCTCGGTTCACTTTGCCGAGGGAAACCGGGCAGGTACCCAGGAGCCCCGTGGTTGCCATGGTGATAGGTCCTGGGGACAGGGGCTCTGGTGGCTGGAAGTCCTTGTTCTCTAACAGGAGCAGGGGGGTTGCGTCCATTCTTCCCATGATACAGCCTCTGACTACTGCCGTGATTTTCTTCCTCATCGGCTTGAAGGAGAAAGTGAAGTAAAGTTCAATGTATTGGGGGGGGGGGATTGGGGGAGCTGCATACTGCTGTATTAAATGTATTTTACCAAATAAAGTAAAGGACCAGTTGGATTTTAATGATATGAAGACTGTAGGAGAAACTTCTTAGACAAGCTAACACCAAGAGTGTTAATGCTCTTACCCTGCTACTTGGGAGTAGCAGGGTAATGAGAAAATATTGAAATAGATAAATGATTAAATGTGTGCCAAGAAAAAAATAAGTTTTAGAGTATTTCTATCAGCTGATTTGTGGTAAAGAACACAAAGTTTTTCGTTTTTCTTTACCAACTGATTAGAGCTCCACAAAAAAGTGAAAAGCTTATTTTTACATTAAGGTTTTAATATTTAACTCACTGTATTACAATTTAGTGCATTCAGTTATATATTTGACTTGTCTAATAACGTTTTACTATATTTTGTCAGTTTCAGGGCTTCATAGTTTGAGACCAAAGGTAAAGTTTAACAGATTTGTTTGTCTTTTGTTTACACTGAATATTTCTTTTCATCCCATGATTAAAAACATCCCGTTTTATTTTTATGCAGAGTTCAGTCTCACCTTCTTGGTCTTGTAGTGACGCGTTGTTGTTCTTTTGTTGCTCTGCAGTCTGTGATGCAGCTTTTCTGGCCTCCTCTAGGTCCATCTGTGCCTTCAGCGCTGCTCGTTTGTTCTTCTTCTTGTTCTCCTCGTTTTGCTTGACAGGGACACACGAGCAATTATAAGAGTGACTGCAGGAAGCTGATTCAGTACAATGCCCATCCACAGAGGTTTAGTTTTATTTTAAAGTTAAGAAAGGCAGAATAAGGCATACAGAACTGCATCAGTTCTGTATGCCTTTTGGGTTTTGGACAGATATGAGCTGTTACTCTGCTGCTCTCTGCTGGAGTGATGATATTAATACAACTGTGGCCTCCTGCTGTCTATTTGTGCATCTACACACTGCTGGGATGTTTTAAAGCTGCTAAAATGGATTAGAAAAGCTAATCTAAATAAAAAACATGAAAGAATTCCTTACCTTTATTTGCCTGAAATAAAAATGTTTCATCTTTATATAAAATGTTAGAGGTTAACATTGTGAGCTTTATTTATTCCAGCGTATTCAACAGCAGATAAATAAAATCTAATTCCAGGTTACCGTTTGTAGTTTTTTCTTCAGTTCCATATTAGCTTCTTTGTAGCTTTTGGATGTGGATTGCAAGTAATAAATGGCCAGTCTGAAAGACACAAAGAACAGATTATTACCATCAAAGAACCTTAAACTTTCATCTATCACTAGATCACTAAAAGGAAAGAATGACAACATGTTTATACAAAATATCTTAAGCTGTGCAAATATATATATATTCATGCAATCTGCTGGTGAGTGTTTGCTGACTCACACCATCAGCAGTATGAAGGGTAGCACCAGTCCAGGGTTAGAGGCAGAGCTGAACACTTTACTGAACCAGGCAGGGAAGTCCGACTCAAGAGTCTCTTGGATCACATCAAACATACGTTTCTTCCCACTAAGGAAAATATAATAATTGTGACAGTGAGAGTTAAAGTAATCAAATTGTAAACGTAAGATCCCTCCAACAAGCATCCTTACCTGAAGGGTCCACAGTCAAAGGAAGGGGGGATGGTGACGATGGTGTAGATGGCAGGCAGAGTGGACAGGAAGAGGATGACCAGCAGCATGGCCATGTAGAAGTTGTTGGAGCCAGAGGCCTTGAAGACCCTTTCCTGGGGTACGTTACAGCACATCACGGCCCAGCACTGCAGGTACATGGACACGTGGAGTCGGAGGACATTCAGCGCAGGCAGGCAGGGGGCATAGAAAGCACCCATCCTGGAGGAAAACATCAGGCTAAACACTGAGGACAGCTAAGTGTTATTCATTATCACTAAGTAGTTGTAAACAAAACACAAAAATAAAAATTGACAGGTGCAATATGTAATAATATGAAGCAATTTACATGTATTACTTGCTTTGTATTGCCAATGTGTGAACAGACTGTAACATAACTTTAAAAAATTATAATAAATAAATAGCAGCCTGACTGATTTCTGTGTTTGTTTCTGGGAAAATCCAAGGATGGGATGTTTACAATAAATGACGGTACAAAGAAAGTGTTGTGTGTATCTAACAATTGCTTTCTGCTAACCAGGTGCAATGCAAGGCAGGATTAACTAACTAATTGTAACCTAAGCTAAGCTGGGACTGGCTGGCTGGCAGGCTGTCGCTTGGCTGCATGGTGTGGGTCTGGTGTTGGTTGCCTAGTAGCACTAACTGAAGGGGTAATTTGAAAATGAATGGCAAACATGTTAGTATTATATTGATCTAAATAAGAAGAAGACACATGACGGCCACCGGTGTCATTAAAAACAAGGATTTCCTAAAAGTTCCTCACAGAACCTTTAATATGTCTTTTTGACCCTGCTAATTAAAATACGAATGTTGTTTTCTCACCATATCATTCCTTGATTGAAGATCAGGCCCAGGACGTTCCCACTGACGTCAAACTCAGAGTAAGACGGCTTTCACACGACACAAAGGAGACAAAAATAACTCTCCTGTGATTCATATTTTCATAACCAATATTTAATTCCACCTCTAGAAAAAGGTGCACTTTTTTTTAATGAGTTATGACAAAAAAATAATACACTGTTGAATTTCACTCTAATCAGTTTGAACAGATGACTCACAAATCCGGCCTCAAGGTCCCAACACCAGCAGTAGTTGAGAAAGCGAACGAGCACGGCTCTCAGGAAATCACCAATCAGCAGCGTGATGTAGGTTGTCATCGTATCAGATATGATCAGCCGGACAAACTCCTGCAAAGTATGAAGCAGTCATACATAATGATCGCCTTACAGAGGTTATACTTTTTTATTCACCTCTTAATCCCTGAGTGTTTCTTATTATGTAGGTTAGTTTACCATTTCTAAGTTTCTAAGACGCCACCTTTACCCTTGGCCTCTTTCACCAGCCACCTCTCCCTCAGCTGATGGATGACTTTGCTAACAAGGTAACGTCCGTCAGTGGCCAATTCACAGAACCACTCAACTGCAATCTTTTCCAGTTAAAGATGAGTCACTACTGCTGCTTCTCCCTTTCACTGATGAAGAGGTTGCCAAACTCTCGAGTCGCTCCACCACTTATCCTGTGGATCTTATTCTTTCGAGCCATCTCACCCACAGTCGTGCCTCTGATGACGCACATTAGGAAATGCTTCACTGACTTTGGGTACATTCTCTAGGGCTCAAGTTCACCCCGTTGTTGAAAAAGTCAACTCTAAATCCATCTCACGTTGAAAACTACAGGCTGGTCTCACTACTATTCTTCATATCCAAGGTTGCAAAGTGTGCTCAGCCAAGGCCACTCCGCTTGATCCAAACCAGTCTGGTTTAAGAGGAGTCATTTCACTGACTGCACTGTTGTCAATCATAGAAACCCTGAGGTCAAAGAGAGGGGGATGCCTTATAGATGGTGAACCACCTCTCTGGTACAGCACGACTCTGGTTTGAGTCCTACCAGAGGAATCATTGAGGTCTAAGTGTCTCTCTCCACTGGGGTACTGCAAGGATCTGTACTTGGTTCCTTCCTCTTCTCAATATAAATCTCCGCTCACATGTTTTTTTCTTAGCAGCGTTATGCTGACGATACCCAGTTCTATCTGTCCTTCCCATCAGACGACGACTGTTATAGCATGAATCTCAGCATGCCTTAATGCTATCTCAAAATGGATGATAGAACGCCACCTTCAGTGTAATCTCTCTAAGATTCTTCCAGCCAGTCTTCCTGTTCAGCACATGCTAAGAAAAAAACATGTGAGTGAAGATGTATATGGAGAAGAGAAAGTACCCCAGTGGAAAGAGACAGACTTAAATGATCCCTCTGTGAGGTACGAGCAGAGAGGTGTACCAGCTTGAAAAATGGCCATCATAATTGATGTGATCCGTCACTCGGTCACCTGATCGTAAGAAAGATTAGATTGACTACTGCAATGCCCTTCTGGCAGGGCTGCCAGTTTGAACAATAAAACCTCTGCAAATGGTTCAAAACGCAGCAGTAAAGACAGCTCATATCACTCCATGTTTTATTACCACCCACCCACCTGAATTCCCTTGTTCGGGTTTATGAGCCTTTTTGTTCATTATGAGCTGAAAATGAACGACTGTCACCTCTCAATCCTTCTCTAGCTCTTTCTAAAAGAAATAAATGTTACTTGAACCTAGAGCCTTGTGGCACTTTGTGTCAGGTGAAACTGAGTGTTGAGGCACTAATTCTAAAAGGCTTCTCCTTGATCTACTGTGGCTTGAATGGTACTTCATCTGTACGTCGCTTTGGACAAGAGTCAATTAAATAAATGTAATTTTAAATATAAAAAGGTCAATGAGCTGTGTTTAAAAGATTCCATTAAAATATTTCATGGTTATAATACATATTTTATATTCATTCGTATGATTATTTCACAATGTCCTATATTTTTATTTAATATTAGTCTCTTTGGGTACCCATAACTACATAATTACATAATATATTATATAACAGTTTACACACACAAATGCCCACTGACCTGCCCCACCATGGTCTCCCAACAGGGCCCTCTGGGCACATCAGCAGGCTGGATAGTGAGGGGTGGACCAGTGCTGTTTTCTGATGCTGTACTATTATAAAGACTGGCTTCCCATGTGGTGATATTGAACTTTACTATCTTTTCCTCTTCCCTCTGAAACACATATACTCAGGTTAAGTGTATTGTAAAATTATAAAGTATCTCACACACATTCAGGCCCTAGTTCTCACTTTGAGGTTGATCTCATCCATGAGCGCAATGATGAAGGTATAGAGGTTTCCCAAGAAGAGGGCAAAGATACGACCCAGCTGCCACTGCAGGGCGACACGAGGGTGGTAGTTCTCCAGGGCACTGATGACGTCAAACAACATGGGGCAGAACATCCCCAGTAATGACATGACCATGTTCACCTGGAAAACATAAAGGCCCAAACTGATGAAAGCTCATATTTGTCACTTACACATTACCAGTGTGTATGTCACTCTAGATTGTCTACTGTAAGTCAGAGGTGTCAAGCATTAGGTCTCATCTAAAAGTGACAAACATCGTTCTTACATCATTCTGCACAGTAAAAGTCAGACATTCAAGTGAAGTAACAATAAGAAAAATACACTAGCTGTGTATGTATGTAAGTATGTAGTGTATTCATATTGAAACATGACATAAATAAGGTGTATTCAATACAGTGAGAATACACTCTAAAGACGTTTTTGAGCATGCTGTTGACACTATTCTCCACAATGCAATGCACAAAGTAAAGGTGAGGAACACTGAGGTGCAAGAAAGTTCGTTATGGAAAAACACGTGTATCAGGACATTGCATAATATTATTGCTAAGTTGAATGAGCATGTGAATTACACACCTACTGTAAATGTAATGTGATTTATGTTATTAATTACAGGTGTGCTTTTCCGACTATGACAATGTCACGAACGAAAAAGGTCTATAGGCCAAATTCTTAAAATGAGTGTGGTGCTAATGCTTTAAAGCCATATATCATATCACTCTATATAATGAACTTCAGCACATCTTGTCTGCTACTAAAATGATTCATATACTTATTTCTCTCCATTTCTGTCTCTTTCATTCTCTGTCTCTCATTCTTTCTCATTACTACCTCATTCCTCTCCCACCAGGTGTGATTATCCAGTCCATCAAGGGCGAACTTTTGAGAGCGACGCACTACAAAGTAGATGAGGTATCCACTTCCTGCTAAGCAGCACAGGACCAGGAAGTTGGCCAGCACACGCAGAAAACGAGTCAGATGGATGTTGTCATCCTTTCTGCTCTCTTGCTCCTCTAAGATTGCCTCCTGGAGAGGTAGAAGGAGGGATATGCAAGATAAATGGCGTCAGTTACTACCTATACTGGATCAGCAACAATCAGCAGCACTTACCTTGAAGCTGGTGGTGATGGAGGCAAACTTATTGTCTGCAGTTTCAGGGTTTCCTATCAGGTAATCCCAGCTGGTGAACGTCTTCCAGCTGAAATTAAAGCTGTTATCATCTCCAACCCCCGACTCGTTAGCATTACGGGCCATCCTTTAATCAGAGATACAGATTCATTATAACATAGAGGAGATTGATTCACTGTATGTAGTCATAATAAACTTACGTTCTTATGACCACCATGTAGCTATAGGCCACTGTTCCCACACCAACCAGGAAGTATGACAGAGGCATGCGGAACTTGAGCCAGCCAATGGCACGCTGGTTGTTGTAGAAACCATAGAAGAGGACTGAATACTGAGCGTAACCCTGTGGATACAGATTTTAGTCTGAGCTGTATTTTCAAATGTAATAACAAAATAAATAACAAAAATCTTATTTCAAGAGCTTGATGTGAGTGTAAGGTTGAATTAACTAATTAATTAACTGACTCCAAAGTCCCATAAGACAGCAAAGTCCATGGCACTGGCCTCCTCAGCCCTGGGGACGGTCTTTCTTGGGATGCTGCCATAAGGTCGCCCCATCAATGCCTGTTAGCAATACACAGGAGAACGCAGGTTACCTCAAAGCATGCAAACAAACATGAGAGCAATACTGCAAATACAATACAAGGAAATTATGAGTTGTTTCTGATAAATACAGCCGTGTACAGTACCTCTGGCACCATGACCAGGCCAAAGGTCAGACCAAACAGAATCATGTTGATGCCATACATCCACCTCAGGAAGATGAAGTAAGAGGCAACTGAGGAGCCGAAATGACCTGAGGAAATAAAATGGTACACCAGTGAAGACTTTGTGAACGCAGAGAGGATCTTTTACCCATTAGTAGCCTACTTACACACTGGGCAATAATCTTTTCATTATTTCTTAAGTGATTATTGTTACTCTAAAAATGGATTAAAATGAATAGAAAATCCTTTCTACTGCATACAGTATGAGCTTCAAACTATTTGAAGTCTTGAATATTTGATATGAAGCTGCAGACTTATAAAAAATAAACCAAACTTTACTTTCAATCTCCTTGATTTTCATCTCCCATGGAATACAGGCAGTTTTGAAGTTTTCAAAGTCCCGTTGAAACTTCATCCATTTCTACAAAAGAAAGACAAATAAATAAAAAAGAATCATATATTCAATATAATAATAATAATAATAATAATAATAATAATAATAACTTTAGTTATATCGCACCCTTAAAAAGTGTTTACAATACATACAAAATAAGAGAGAATAAAACCAATAAAATAAAATTATATAACATAGTCATTTAATGCTGTGTGATTCCATACCTTAGCCATCATGACCTTGTAAGCATAGAGCTTCCTGCCTTTCCCTTTCCCCAGTGCTCCTTCATATTTCTCCACAAACTCCTGAGACTCCCTACAAGCAAGAGGATGATTTGATTCAGAGGGAATTACAGCTCATGTGTTGTATTACAGCTGATCCTGAAAAGGATTCTGATTGTTTCAGGATCCTAATTCAAAGTGAACCTCAGCGATAACACGGTGAGGGAATTCACCTCAAAGTCACAAGTTTCTTTTTCATTGACCAGGGTTTCCCCCTCAGACCTTGGATCAGTTTCTTCCTCTCGTCCACGGCCTCCTTCAGCTTCTCCAGCTCCTCCGGTGACAGAGACTCTGGCCTGAGCTCCTTCTCCTCACTGTCCTCTTCTTCATCGACATCTTCCTCACTGCTCTCCTGCTCTGAGCTGAAGGGACAGAAGGGCAGCGTGTTTAACACTTTCTTGTGTGTATGATAGTTGTGAAATAGTTTACAACTTTACCTTGTTTCAACTACTCTCTTGTGCTTTGTCTTCTTCTTCCCTTCCTGTGTCTTCTCCTTCACTGCACGTTTACCTCTGTCCTCGTCTTTCTCTTCTTTTTTGGCACTCCCATGTTTCTTTTTTCCCTTGGCATTTCGTTCTTCAGCTTCTCCCTCCTCCTGCTCCACTTGTCTTGTTTTTTTATTTTTGATATTCTTCTTAGTTTTTGCCGTCTTACCTGTTTTTATTTGGGCCTGCTCCTCCTCGTCCCTCTCTCTTTCTTCTGATTCTCGATCATTCTTTGCTCTCCTTCTCCTGCCTGCCTCTCTTTTCTCATTCCGGGCCTGTAGCTCCTCTTCTCTTTCTCCTGCTCTTGATGCTCGTCTTCTCCTCCCGTTCCTCCTCTTCTTTTTCTCTCTATCACCGTCCCTTCTTTTTGCTCTGTGTCTCTCCCTCTCATGTTCCTCTTGAAAACTGGAAACTTCATCCTCGTCACCTGCAGTAAAGACGCAGGTGTTTGTTAAGTGTTGCAGTAAGCATTAATGTAACATGGTGAACAGATTATTTACCGTATAATATAATATAAACCCATTATCACCAAATTATCTTACAGTAATGTGAAGTTTTTCATCCGTTACAATAGGGCACCTTTATTGATTCATAACACAAGAACTCACTCACCTGCAAATTCCAGTCCAATGTCAACTGTAGGAGAGGGAGATTATTTCACTGTGAAAATGTAAAAGTTTTTTAAACTGTTACAACTCATCTATTAATTTACACCAAGTTATGCTAATTTACATCCGTACATTATGTATAACATCAGTTCATTCTCATCTCTTTCTCTCTTTACAATGTGATCATATATTAAAACGATGCTTCCATAGATTGAAGATGGTGAAACTTTTACTGATATGCACACAGACACAATCTTCAGTTTGCACTGTTTTTGTTATTATGACAGATATAAAGTCCAAAGACACATACCAGCCTCAATCATGTACCATTCTTCAGATTAGAAAATACAATGAGAATTTTATTTACACACATTATTTACATAACCCATCTGAAATAGACATAACACACACAGTATTTGTCTGATTTTTATGAGCGAATGGAAAAAGGAATAAGGAATACTTATTTGCATAATTATTTGTCTGTCGGCCTTCTCTTGATAATTTGAATGTTATAATGATTTTTACTCCCTGCTTTAAGCAGCAGAGGTAATGTGCAAATATTACTGGCCCACTTTTGGGTGAACAAAATATTCGAGAGAGGGGCATATACACCGACTTGTCTAATTACACCGAGGTAATCATAAAAGAGGAGTTTGTTCAATACAGCAGATAATGAGATTTCACAGTCCAGAGAGGTTATGAAATAAACATGGAGTAAACTACAAAAGAAACAAATAAACAAGATTTTCTCTTGTTAACAGCTAAAGGTTATCGGGACAGTTTTGTTGAAGAGACTGACTTCTTTAAATGCTGAAAGTTTATATTTTAAAGTCCGACCAACTTGTAATCCTTATTATTACCAAAGAATATAATATTATATATACATTTTTACAGTGTTGTAGCTAAATGAGCACCATTATTTAAACGTCTTTCTGAAAACATGCTGCAATATGAAATATTTAATATATTTTATTTCTATTATTTGATTAATTTCTGCTTTAATTACGTTTTTCTGAGGTAATCAGATTTCTTTTTAATCCAGTCCATTTTTCTTTTTCTTTTCTTAGGACACTGACCCCTTTCACTGCTAGAGTTTAGCCTAACCTTATTGTATACCTGCCTCTATTGTCCTGCAGTAAAGGGGGATCAAGAGGAAAACAAAGAGGACCACTGACAAATTGAGCAGATATTTATGTAGTCGGCCCTTTGATGTGTGTCCTTAGTGTAACCGGAGTGGCCGGCACACGGGTCATTACGGCCGTGTGCAGCAGAGGGGCACAAAAGAGACAAACAATGGCCTAATGAAGGGAGACGGGGTGGCTAAGCCCACAAGGACAGGGGAGACAGCCAAGGGCCAGAGGCCAGCTCCCAAATATGCAGCTGAGTGAGGATGAGAGAAAATTCTGAGGTTTTCGATCGTTGGCTTTTTATTGATGAGTGAAATCAGAAGTCCAGTGTAAGTGGCCGCACTGTTTTTACTCATATTACTGAACTTGGGGTTCTGTTAACTCAATAAATGTGGATGTTCTTGTCCACAAATAGGTTTAAATCTATTAATACATATACGCCATGAACATAGAAACCAAAGGCTGCTGCTTTATTTCAATAATCAGTAATATTTCCTCCCAGTGAACATCAACTAAAAATGTAAGATAATAACAACGGGCACAAAGAATGAACGTCAACACGTTAACAAAACTCCTGCGTCACACAAAGTGAAAACCGGAATAGCAGCTTGGTCTTACTGTCATTCTCAGAGGTGATCAGACTGTCTCGAGGCATCCTCCTCTCATGGTCCTGTACCCCCTTAAAGCAGTCGCCCCAGCATCCAGTGGTGCATAGGTGAGGTGGAAATGAAAGAGCTGCAGGGTTTCAGTGGTCTCTCTCCTTCTGCATCTTTTACAGGGAAGGATGCAGCTCGTCCAAACCCACACAGCGCCATGGGAATGAACGAGTGCGTGTTTATATATGTGTGTGTGTTGAGGGGCTGGTACATGATGAGTAACTCGCATGAGAAGTTTACTTTTTCCTCACCACCCATCGACCCGAAACAGGGACAATGACAGCATGGAAACCCTAGAGCCACGCAATTTCACTAGTGATCAATTATTCAAAACAGTTATGACTGCCTTTATGCAGCTGTGTGTGTGTTTGTGAATGTTTATGAGTGTGTGTGTGTGTGTATGTGTCAAGACTAAAACAGAAGGGTTATGAGAGCAGCAGGCCTAAGCGAGGCTAACAGATGACTCAGCTGTTATGATACAGTGAGGAAGTGACATTTAAAAAATCACATTCACCTCATGGCGCTGAATATCTTCTTGTGTTTTATCAGTGTGCAGATGGATTCTTGATTTTTGTTTATTTGCACATCGGTTAGTTCTAGCTGTTTTCCTTCTGTTCCCACACACTGACCCTTGATTCACATTTGGGAATGAGCCCCGATGGCTAGAAGTAGCAAAACATTAAAAGTGCCAGTAAAAAATAAAATGGGAGCCTGAACCTGAGAGATGTTGCCAAAGTATGGCTATTCTTAACAAAGTATGATCAATGAATCCATGTCTTTATTAGTAGCAGGTTGGATTGATGCACTCTTCACTCGCCTATTATAAACTCGATTGGGAAACTTCAGCTTGTACAGAACTCTGCTGCCAGACTTTTAACAAAGAGGAAAAGAGCACATTATTCCTGTTTTAGCTTCCCTGCACTGGCTTCTTAATTCCTGTAGAATTCATTTTAAGGTCATTGTACTCACTTTTTAACCCCATATCAGCCAACAAGAGGAGCTAGGGCTGACACCTTCATGGTCGGTCGATGTGCTCTCATCCAACTGAACCCTCATTGGAAGGTTCGAGCTCAGTGATGGATCATGTTTTATGTTGTTTAATTGTGTTGTTTAGCCTGCTGAACTTTGCCTTAGCATGTGGGTAAGTGGCTACCGCCTCAGGCTGGGAGAATTTGGACTAATGTTGTAAAACTGAGGGACAGTCGAGAGAAACTGTGTGAACGTCTCATTTGAAGCCAACTAAAAAATGAGAGACGTAGGTTGGACGGCGGTAGCTGTTTTTACATGAGGCTTTGTCTGGAGCTGCATCGCTTTGTACTGCGTCAGCTTTGTTGAAACCCGTTTTGCCAGTGTGTGTATGCGTGTGTGTGTGTGTTGCTACTGTATGTAAATCTACTTAATAAACACAATATGGCTAGGTTTGAAAAAGAAATGGTCAAACTGCAGGAATTCATTTTTATTGGCAACGTAATGTGTAACTTTGATTATCACCCAGCAGCTACACACACAGTGCACTGTGGCAGAATTAGTCAACCTAGATAAATAAACCCCCATCGGCCAATCGATTGATTGAAAAGTGGGTGGGATTTCAGTTCTTTGGTTGACTACAGCCCTAAAAGTATCCCACAAAACAAGTGGGAAAACTGCTTTTGGCTACGCTCCAACACTTTAGATTTGCAATTAATGTGTTACAACTTTATCTCTTTTTCTGTCATTAATGCCTTTTTATCAGATCATTGACTCTATCTTTATGAAGTTGTGTTTTTTTTTTTATTTCTTACTGTTTTGTTTTTAATGCCATACTGTAACACGGTTTGAGCTCCATTTCATGTATGAAAGATTCTATATAAATAAAAGTTATTATTATTATTAGTTATTATTGTTTGAATATGTGTCTCACAGGTTTATGTAAAAATAACTACCATATACCATCATTCAGTCTGTTAACTGGGCTCTTATTGTCAAAGTAATGGTAGTAATTTATATGTGAGTTGTGCAGATGTTTCTGGTTACGGAACAATTTCTCTGTCTTTATCTTATGAAGCTGAAATAAAGGCCAACACTGACATTTCACAGTGTGTTAGTGTGTTTTGATCCTGGCTGGTGAAGAATATGAAATGAGTCACAGATATTGTCTCAGTCTCGTGTGTCTGGGGAGGCATCTGGACTAATTAAGCCATCTGACACATCTGAATGTTTGTGTGCTCACATAATAATTATGTGATGGAAAGAAAATCCCATTTGGCAGACTCACCTCCCATTTAGGGATGAAAAGCTGGTACCCATGAAGTAAAGTAAACTGCTACACTGAAGATTTAAGGTTAGGGTTAGTGTACTTTTCACCTATGAGATATTGCACTTAATTATGTCCGTATGACGTATTCCATCCATAATATAACTTTCTCCTGAGGTGAGTCTGTGTGTGCAGAAACATGTGATCATGTGAAACCTCAGAGGTAAAAGAACCAGTGTTGAGAATTTAGTTGCTTCTAGCGGTGAAGTTGCAGATTGCAACCAACTGAACACCACTCGCATCTGTATCTTGACAAATTTTGGAATAAAAACAAGCGTGAAGGAGAAACTACAGTGGCCACAAAACTCCCTATCTAAAGCCATTGTTATTATATCCAGACATTGATCTGAGTACTGTAGATAGCCTGTAGCTCCATTAGAGGACCTCCTACTGTGATGTTATGAGTACACTAGGTTAAGAACTCCAGTTGTCAAGTAAACATGACAGAGCCGCTATCACGCCTCGTCTGTTTATTCACGTTAAAGGAGACAACACGTGGTGTCACAAGTGGCCGTGAGCAGCTACGGACGGAAGAGTTGCCACGGGAGAGCCACGGAGAAAAAAAAAGAACCAAAGAAAAGAAAAGTCTCCGGTCGTGAGAGTGAAACGTGCTAACAACGCAACATGCTAAAAGAGTTTGCTACGGTGTGTGATGTGTGTGTCGGACTCTGCTCTGCCTCCTGTCATTGTTTGATGAACAGGAAACGTCTCTGCAGCTGTACAGATGTTGACACAACCCATCAGGACTAACAGGAC